TCCTTTGCCAAGGTGATACAAAATCCATATATAAATGGTGAGTAAACCTGGGGTTAGGTGGTTAACCGGTGGTAGTTTATAACCAGATAGTTTAAATGGGCACTCCCCTAGTTGGGGTGCAGGTACGACAGATAGTGTAGAACCTTCGGGCGGACTACTTAAATTAGGCACTCAAAGGTGCACGTGTGGCTTGATGTACTATCATTGTAATTGTGTATAAAACACCATTTCAAATCCTAATAAAAGCTTTTAGGCCAAAGAGATCTCCTTAACTCAAAAAAAAAAAATCCAAGCATGTATAAACTTTAGGAAGTATAATAACCTTTTCAACCAAGATCACTGTATAAAAAACTAATTTAAACCTCAGTTTTCATAATTGTTTATGATATAATAGTATAAACATTAATCTGAAATTATATAGTATTACTTAAGGACATTATGTAAAGACAAATTTTTTTTTTTAAATATTAAAAAGTAAGGCCTTTCTCATATCTTTATTGAGTAATTTATATAAGAAATTATAAAGAAACAAATACTAAATGAAGACTCAATTTATATATAAATAAATAAATATAAACTACATGCAAGAATAAAAGCTCAGACTAATTATTTATCTGCGATCTAAACCTACTAGAGTAGTCAAGACTCACCTAGATTTGAATAGCTAATATATTATTTGTAAGAATACTGAACTAGATCTACAAAGTGAACCAGATATTGAATTTACACTTATTGAGCCCAGCTGGGGGGCAAGAAAATGAATCAGAATGTAGTTGATCAGATAAGTTACATGGACAGTTATATATGAAAGTGTTATGAGTTCTGGTATGGAAATGAGTAGGAGATCATTGGCTAAATTGAGTAAAGGTAGGATTTGATGATATTTGATGTGCTTTTTTCCAAGTAGAGAAGCTAATACAGTATGATTTCTATATTTGTTCATAAATTTGATTGGAAATTTTGATAAGGATTTTGATGATTAGCTGTGAGGCTATTGAATAAGATATAATGAGATGTATACTGTGTTAAACAATTATTGAAAGTATTCAAGAAAAACCTTTCATCGAGATTTCAATTATATTTTGTACTAGACTCAATCTATTTAATTTATTAGAGATTGCGGTACAATATATAATTTAAAGCCCGATGACAGGTATTCCTTGACAGCACTCATATTTTTACACGAAAAACCGTGAATCTTGAATTTCGAATTTAATGCCCTTAAAATTCTGATGTGATAATATAAGTGGAAGAGTGGTGTCTCAATTGCATGCTCAATAAGAATTCGCTAAAGCTTGTGCATCTCGAGCTCAAATTTCAAACTGGCCAGTTCAGTTAAGTCAATACTCATTTTAATTTAATGCACAATACTTATGCTCAAATTAAAAGTACGTACGATAGTGATGATTAGACTCGGTCAAGTCGTAGCTCAAAAAGAAAAAAAATTTTTTTTTGATAGTAAATGCTAATAATTAAACACTCACTAGTTAAATTATATCTTGAAATTATTTAAATACATCAGTTACATGAATACTGGAATAATGTTTAAATATATGCGGGCCCATGCGGGTCATACCGGGTACCCGCTATCTTGAACCCGGAATCGGTCGGTTCTGAAAATCGTGGACTCGAACCGGACCCGACGAGTCGGTTCCGGGTTTCGGTACGAGTCTGCGGAACATTGAATACGAGGATACTTTCAAATTAAATTCAAGATTAATATGCATAAAATTTTTATTGTTCAAACTTTATAATATATTATCAACATAAAATATATTTTAATAAAACTTAAATAAAATTAATTATATATATAGTTATTTTTATATGCATAAAATTTAGTAATACCGTATTAATAATTTTGCCCATGAGTAACTAGAAAAAGTTAGAACAGCAAAAAAACATGGAGTTCTTAATACTCCATTAATCATTATGTTTATATAGTGTAACGACTAATTGCGAAGTTTATGCGCAAATAATAATTATTCATTTGACTTCATAGGCTAAATCATCCATCATGTACTTACTGTACGTAGGTAACGTACTTACCTTATGTTTATCATGATATTTATTCAATAAAAATTTCTCATACTGGCACAATAAAGGATTTCTTTTGTTTATTACCTAATTTTTAATGCCTATTCACTTTTTGCCAATTCCGGTACCTGATCACACGTGATTATAGACCAATCAAGTGATGTCCCAGATTAGCACGACGAAACAAATATAACAAACAGTAGTTTAAACCTCTCTTGGAGCACTAATAAAAAATGGCAGGGAAGGCAATTTTTCCCTTAATCGTGTTTCAAAACATTAGATTATCCGGAGTTACCCGTTAATCTTAAAAATTATTTATTGACATCACTAAAAAAAACCAATAATATATGACTTATATACAAAATAGAATTTATTTTTAATAATCCGTGACCTTAGGACATGCCCGGACACCAGTCATATATGAACTTTTCCTACAGTAATTTTGCAATATTATATGTTTTGTATATAAAATTTTGAATTCAAAATTCTTCACATTATGGCATTTAGGAGTGCGTTTCTATTAGAGTAAAGCAACAAATATGCAGTTAAATCTCTCTAAATGCAACTTTTAAGGATCAAACACACCCTACCGAAAGCATTCATCCTATCTTAATTATTTGAGTTCAGTTAAAGTGTGGAATTTAATTATGATTTACTATAACTTTAGTAGAAAATGTTTTACTCATGATTTTTAGCCCAGATTATTGAAAATAAGGCGAACATTTAATTTAATAAGGAGTATATGGTGGTTAAATGCAGAGTTGTGAGCTTGCGTAGTCTAATGAAAAAAAATCATTAGATAAGTACATGTTTTTTATATGTCTGATGGATTTCTAATGGTGTCTAATACAGTCTAGGATTATACGCGATATGGAAATGATCTGCAAATATATTAGAAGGGTATTCTAAAACCCAATTTCAATTGAAAAAACAAAAGCATTTTTTATTATCTGAAAATAACCATCAGTTTTAAAAAATCCTTTAAATTTTTTTTACAAAAAGTATCCTAAGGCTATGTAGTTTAGGAATCCCTGGGGATCCCTGAGGCTTTATAAGGCGGTTTTGCACTAAATAACAAATGCAGTCAATAATATGGCCAAAATTTGGCCAAAATTTGTACTACGGAATTGCAAATCTTTACCAAAAAACGCGATGATTTGCGTTACACAACTTTGAAAAATCCCTGACTGTAATACCTGTCTATTCACAACCCGGGTTAAAGGCATATTTGAGCCATTATTTGTACTTGCACTCAGGGAGATATTGTATTTAGAGAGGCGGTTTACATTATCATCCGTTGATGAGCATATAGTTTCCTTTGATAATAAAGATTATTTATGCATATCGATATTATTTATGCTACTGTAATGATTATGTCATGACCTTTCAATGACCCCATTTTAATAAATAATAATTTTTTATTATGGAAGTTTCTATAAATTTATGGCGCTTTGCAAAAAGATTGACCCATGTTTTTTGTGATGATGATCGAGGAAAATTTCTGAGATTCTAAATTGTCTATTAATCCATATTTTCGATCAGTAATATTTATATTTATTAGAGTAATATTCTTTAAATCTACAGAATCTCCGATTCTCACGAGACATTATGATCCATCATTTTAAAAGCGCAATAATTGACTGCACATTAGCGTTCAAATCCGGATAAATCCGTAATTATCCGGATAATTCAAATCGCTCAGATATCCGGGTATCAATAGTAAATGGATAGTAAACATCAATAAGCAATTGTGAAAATCCTATTGCACATATAGTACGTATTATGACATTGGATTAGTCAGATATTTCAGCTTTTAGTGTACATCGTTTAATGGTACTAAATCAAATGATGGTAAACAAACAATTTTATATGACAAAGTATTTGATACACAAATCACATACTGTTAAGGAAATATTAATGCCACCTCTGGATTTACCTACGTACGTATGTGCTAGTTTATAAAAGAATACCCCGATTAGTTATATTATTGTTGCAATACATGTACTGTACGTACATACGTACGTACGTACGTACGGACTATTAAAATTAATTTGACACCGAGTCTAATCCTACACTCATATAAATAGGGGATTTTAATTAGGATGTGCTAACTTTATAAGTTACTTGACAATAATACGTGCATAAAATTAGTATTACAATACAAAATAAGAACTTTCATGCACATAGCATAAAAATATGCCACCTTTAACATTATACAAATTTATAGATGGAAGAACAAGTACTAATAATTTAACCTTAATAAAATACGAAGAATTAATACAAGCAGACGAAGAAGAGTCTACTGTAAAAATATGGTGTGATAAACGAGTGAAAATAAAAAAATTAAAAGATATTAGTAAATGCGATGATAGTAATATTAAAAGATTCGAGGTTAGCATATACAGTATTTAATTTTTTTCTGTTAGTAGTCTAGTTATCTGCATGATCTAACAAAGAATATATATATTTTCTATTTTCTAAACATATTTTATAATATTTATCATAGATTGAAGTTAAACAATTTGATCACCCAAACTTGCTTAAAGTATTTGGTCTTACATATGGTAGCTCATGTTGCTTTATTAAACAATGACAACAGCAATTCAATAATTATTATGCTAATATGTTTATTAAATGTAATAGATGAAAACGATTATTGTTATTATTTAATTACAGAAATTGCTAATAACGGTGACTTACGCAATTATCTTAAGCAAAAATCTTTATCGAATGATCCACTAGATTGGAATAGAAAATTAAACTTAATACGCCAAGTGGTCGATGGCTTGAAGTACCTTCATGAAAGATCTATTGTTCATACGGAATTGGTAATACTTTGTAAAAATTGCCAAACCTTGTAATAATGTGTCTCATTTTTATATCGTAAAATCTTAATTGCTTTTACTTCGATTTTTAGCACCCGTCTAATATTTTCGTTCACGATGGAATCCCCAAAATAACAAATATTGGGATGTCTAAAATTCGCACCCCTTATAACCTTTCTTTTACTCAATATACGCCTCCTGAGGTATTACAAAATAAAGATACCCTCAATGATATAAAGCTAAATATCTACAGTTTGGGAGTTTTAATGTGAGAGATATGTAATGATGGTGTTGAGCCTTTTCGAGATAATTATAATGTTTCTCTAGCGTTTGAAATAATTAATGGTACACGTGAATCATCCAAAAATGGAACTCCGCGTGAATTCATTCATCTTTATGAAAAATGTTGGGACCACAATCCTGGTGCGTATGTTATAAATCATTACCAATAATATTCATATACTAACACGTGCAACTAATAATACCAAATTTTTATTAACATAATCAAAACATAGATAGGCGACCTAACTGTTTAGAAATCCTTAACGAACTAGAAATTGTCGATAAACGTGAAAAAGTCAATGGATTCAGAAATTATGAAACTACTAGTGAACTAGACATTAGAGTTCTAGAAAGAGAAAAAGGGTTGCAAAAAGAATTTATTGAGACCTTTGGTTTAAACAAAGCTGGAAATTTAGTTGGTCACAATTTTATTCTTGGAACAAAAACAATACTTAGTAATCTTGGGGATTTAGACATGTTTTTTTTGAAAGATGAACCAGATATTTTTGTCTCAGGAGATCACACAAGTTCATTTGACGATAATGCAAAGTTGTATGTCCCGATTGCATATGTACTATATAAAAGCGATGTGGATAATGTGGATGAACAATTTATTTTAGATGTCAATAATGCACTTAATAGTTTAGATGACAATGAGAAAAAAGAAAAATTAAATATGATACTTAACGAATGGGGTAACTTTGTAGTTTCTGAAGTCGTTATAGGTGGTGCTATACTGATAAAAAATTGGTCATCAATTAGTGATGAAAATAAATCACGCCTAATGACTTATATCCAATGGGGAATAGATTATGCAAAAGGTGGAAAATCTCCAATCTTTAGCAAGGTCTCACTTAATAATTTTCCTCAATTAGAAACTTCGAAAAAGGTTTTAAAAACTGTTGGTGAACTATATGATTGGCTAAAAGAAATTTACAATTATCGAAATCTGGAGATTATCTCTTATGAAAAATTTAAGCAGTCATATCAGTTACTGCCGAATAATTTAATCGAACAATTTCCTGCTATTGAGTCTACAAATAACCCTTCCTTAAGAATGATTCCACAAATATCACCAACTCAATATGAACAAAAAAAATTCTCCGAATGGATTAACGTACTAAAAAACCCATCAAAACATTCACTATTGTGTGATTGGATTCATGAACTGTCTTTGGAACATGGTATAATCTTAAAACTTCCGTATTTAGTATCTAGCGAAAATGCATGTCTTAAATTTTCTAAAGAACCTGAAATAACAGAAATGAATGAGGTTATTCTTTTGTTAGAACAACCTCAAACACAACAAGAAGCATATTTGCTAGATAATAGTATAAAAGAGAGCAATCATTTAAAGTTCAAAGATATTCCTTTTTTTGATCATAATTTAGCAAAGAAACCCTCTAAAAAGATTTATTGTCAGATTATTGTTAAGTTGGCAAGGATTTCTTTTGAGTTAGCAAACATTGAACCTATAGAACAAGTTTCAAATATGGTGAATATTTCTCTTGAAAGTTGCGAACCATATAAAAATCTTTACGAACTTTTTAGTAATCATTATGGACATTTGGTTCCTAAAACTCTAATTTTGGGTGCAAAGTTATCAATTGAGCATGATATTTCTCAAATCATCATCAATGAAAAGAGGCGTGAGTTGAATAGTTTTGATGCATTAAATATTAAAAATATTTTATCGAAATGGGATGAAAAATATAAACTTATCAACACGAAACTTTTAATGAGCAATGGAGAAATTATTAAACGCGACTATATTGAAGATTGGTTAAATACTCTTATAGATAATCCTAAAAATTGGAAGATTGTATCATATGAAGATTGGACTCCAATGTATAAAATTTCGAAACAAACACAACGTAAAATTATTGATGAAATTTTAAGTGATGAATATCGTATTGTAATTAGTGGAAAAGAATCTTTACAATGGGACGATCAAACTTATGTATCTATAAAATTTCCTGGTCCTGTCGATAAAAACTATCAGATTTATGGAAGAGTTGCTAAGAAGAATATATTTGGAATTTGGGAAAGTATTGACGATGTGAATGTTGGTTTTAATCATGCTAATGAATATAGTTGTTCTGCAATCTTACACAAAAATAAAGATATAAGGTATTATACCATATTCTATAATTATTTCATAATTTAAAAACTTTATTAACTTTTAATATATTTAATTCTCGTATTAAAGGTTGAAATATAATAATTTAAAGATTTTTTGGTTCGTGGTTTCTAAGCAAAGAGGGTATTATACTAATAAATATCGAAGTATTCAAATCGCTCATGGAAAACAAAATATCAGTAATTCTCAAATATCTTTAGATTCCAACAATCTTTATACGAATTGTATTTTAGTAACATCTTTTATTTCCCAACCCTTAAAAAACCCACCATTCTATGAAATTAACCTTAAATATTGGACGACCACAACAGTTAACATGGAAATTATAAAGAAACAAAATAGTGGCAGGCATGGGAAAACATCGGATCCATATCCTCAAGAAACAGCGATTCAATGGTGTATTATTTACACAAATATAGATGAATTGGTGAATAACAATAAATCATTTCCATGGAACGTATTTGGAATTACCCTTGATGAATCAACTAAGAAATGACATTTATTGTCTGGAACGACCTACAATCTATGCATGCTTTGATCACTATGTCCAGATGTTCAACACGTGATACAATAAATTCCACACGTAACACAAACTATGATTGGATAAAAATTACTATTATACATGCTTTGATCAACATATATATTCAATAATGAGGTTTACTATTTATCACCACTGGTGATCATCACCAGTGTTGCTATATCTCAAAAACCTACTAAGTAAACGGATCGGGTACTCTAAGTAAAAATGTTCAGAACCCTTAAAAACCTCACAGAAACTAAAATTGGAACCCTATATCTAACCTATATTATATAAAAAAAAAACCCTTAAAAATGCACTCTAACCTAAAAACTATACTGGTGATGGTCACCAGTAGTGATATGAAGTAATTCTCTTTAATTAATATAGTATTCTATTTATATAGTAATATCTAATTTTGTATAATTTGCTCCGGACATTAACAGATTCTGCTACAATGAAGCTTGAGAAAGCAATTAAAAACAATAACTTCACCAAATTGACGACATGTTATATATAATGAATGATCTTTATATATAGTGCAAAAAAAAAAGGATACATAGTACTGTAAAACTTTGAAAGGTCATACTTTCAAAGTGATGTTTTCGGAATTTTCAAACTCTACAATGCTGATGATGCTTTTAAAATTCCATGAAAGCGTTGTTGATAATTGATATTCTGAAGCACAATTAACATATAGTTTGGGTCTTTTAATTATCAATGACATATTTTAAAAAATTTGCTACTAATATTAATACCACTGTAATATATTATTTAATGTTATTTATTACATGAATATAAAACTAAAGATAGAGAAAAAGAATTGCTAATTAATGGCTAAACTTTGGCAACAAAAGTTGTTGACTACTATGCAAAAAACTATTAACTTTATAAATTTGTGATTTATTCATTTCTGAAGCTTTCAAAATAACATTTGACAATTAGGACTATTAATAGTTATATGTGATTATGTATACATTTTTTTATTGCTTGTTATACAGTATACGTATATACAGTACGTATATTACTATTATAAAAACATGATAAAATTGATAAAACTACCCATCAATAAACGCGTACTGAATCTATTGGAAAATTTTGTATGTCTTGCTTTTAGGAAATTAAAAAGAACTTGATCACTATGAAAAATATTTAACAAAAGAATAATCATGAACATGTGCTAATACAACAATTCCGGTTAATTTATCTTTAGAAGCTATTGGTATATAGCAGAACTTACTTAATTTTAATGCCTGTGAAAATTTAGAGCAAAGGTTATGAAAATATGGACTTTTAAGCATCAAAATTGCCGATGAGATCTTAGGAGTTGAGATCAATAATACTGTAATTAACTGCTAAATTAATTTTAATAAACTAGCAATTAAATGCTAATATAATATTTGTCGGGGGTGATGCTGAAATCGGATGATGCTGAAATTCACGTGATCACATGATGATCTCCGCTATTATATAGTAAAAAATAAAAATTATATTATAACTAGATTTAGTGTTTAATAAATATACTTTCATGTACTAACAAAAGTTGTTCTTTAGATTGAGACGATTCTAATTATAGTAAAATAATCAAAAACAACCCACTAGATAGTCTGCAATAGTTCTTCAAAGTTTAAATTGCTGTTTTATAACTTGCTGTAAACAAACGTTTTAAAACTTTGAAGAACTATTGCAGACAATCTAGTAGGTCGTTTTTTATGATTTTACTATCATAAGAATCGTCTCAATCTGAAGAACAACTTTTGTTAGTACATGAAAGTAGGTTTACTTAACACTAAATTTAGTTTAAAAATATTTTTTAACTTTTACTATATAATAGCGGAGATCATCATGTGATCACGTGAATTTCAGCATCAGCATCATCCCCGACAAAAAGTTTTTTTTGCAAATAAAAGTTTGCCGGTTTCTATTTCAATAATTTTTACTAAACTTCAAAATTAGCTGACTATGTGGGCTTTGCTGCAAAAAGGGGTAAATCAAGCTACCGTATACTTCCGAAATTAAGCACCCCCCGAAAATAAGCACCCCGCATTCTATATTCACCCGAAATTAAGCACCCCCTTTAAATAGTGCTAGGATAAAAAACTGGTTAAAACCAGTTTGTGTCAATCACATTATAACCCGAAAATAAGCACCCATATAACAAAAAAAGGGTGCTTAATTTCGGAAGTATACGGGTAGTTGTTTTTTTTTTTGCACAACCCAATTTAAACTGAAAAAAAGCTTGAAAAATAATAACTTCTTCGCACTATTATATAAAAACAAATTACAAACACTCGAGGCTTTACTCAGATACGAAAAAATCATTTGGAAAGTAGTTTGATATTTCGAGATCATTTGGTTTTTGGTATTATTTAGAACGCAATAGAAAGTCTATATGCCTTTTTTTTTTTTTAATATCGAAATAGCTGAAATAGCTGGGTTCTACTTTATTTATTCGTGGTCCACATTAAGATAGCTTTATTATGTGTTACAGGAGATTATGACTTTATCGTTTGGCATTGAAGAAGAATTACAATTTATATAGTGATGGATAACTTTCTTGTCTAAATATAAACTATATTAAATCATTTGTCTAATTTGAGTTGTCATGTATTTATTATAAATGCAAAGTTTTTGGTTATTAGCATATATAAAATCAATATTATATCGTTTGTAGCAAATAAAAATTTTGATTGGCCAGTTGTAGATGATCTGAAAAGTGGCGTAAAATATTCAATTTATGTGATCGACAATCATGAGAAAGTTATCCGTTCAAACCGGACCTCTACGGAACAGGTCGAATAGGATTTTTTTATAAATTCAAATATTCTTAATGGTACATCCTATTCCTATTCACTTTGTCATTATGACGATATTTACGGGAATCGTATGTTACGTAAATTGATCACATTGTTACTACAGTACGTAAAAATCATGTGTACAACCGTACTACGATTCATATTTGGGTCCGGAGTAGACGGAGACCGCCCATGTGACTTAATTATATTTACTAATAATTCGAACTACGTACGTACGTATAAACACTTAAAAACTTTTATTTCTAATACAAAAATATTAAAAGATAAATAAAAAAATATTATGGATACATTTGATCTTCGTGAACTTCTTAGTCCAATTGTTCAATATCCTACTCCAAAAGATCAGAATCGTATAAAGGTAGCGATAACCACTAATAATGAAACGACAAAATATATATTGAATGACTTGGATAAGTCGGCGTCTTTAAGAGAAGTACGACGATGTTTATCTGCAAATGGTGATGTTTTAATGAGCAAGCAAGACTCACAATTTTGTAATAAATCAAAAGATAAAATACAACTAGAATGTGAAGACGATTTTAAACTTGAAGATATTTTGATTCCAGAGGATGATTTTTATTCAGTATATATAGAAAAAAATTCAACAAAACCAAACTTTATTGAACTTTCACGCAGGCTTAATTTAAATAAGGGACGTAGAAAGAAAAACAGTGATGGTAGCATGGTGATAGCGAGTAAATCGGCATTCAGTATAAAAAATTCACACCTTATGAACGTAACTGTTAATGACAATCTTAAACGTATATATGAAAAAACCAGCAAGGATTTTAATAAATCTTGGGAAAGAAGTTTTGATCATCAAGACATAGTTCCTCCTTTAAAATCATCCGTTAATTTGAAAAACTATGATATTATATATTATGAGAAGGGATCGATTCGATTATCACGTAAAGACTTAGAAGTAACAGATGAGTATGTTAAAGCTATTACAGACGCATTAGATGAAGGTCAGGGTGATGCATGTAAAATGGAGGCACTGAATAAAGTTGGTGAAGAATTTGGCTTTTTTTGGTGAGTATAATTTTGTAATAACAATATATTATTATGTTTTTTCAAAAAAAGTTGTAATTATAATTGAACAGGGCACAAGAAATTAAACTTGGAGGAAAATCTCAAAGCGCTCGACCTACGAGTTCTACAAGTATCAATAAATACAAAGCAGTTGGTGGAGATATTACAAAGTGTAATGATGAAGGTGAATGGTTAGAGTCTCTAAGTTCTTATAAAATTTGGGTGATTATTGGATATGATGATAAGTTATCACTCTATGAATTGTTACCAGAAGGATTAAAATCAAGAATAAAAAAGGTTATTGGTATGAAAGTACTTTATTCAGATATCCTAAACATTAAAATGCCAGAATCAATTTATCCTGTTCCTAAACCATCAAATATTATAACATTTAAAAACCATAAAATATTCGTTTCTATGATAAATAATACAAATGGCAAGCATTTAAATAATAATGTGTTTGCAATTCGCGTTGATTACCAAAATCCAGAGAGTCCATACTTCATAATTCATCGTCTTGGTATGGCCATTGAAGATTCATCACCGATCAATCTTTCGGTACCATGGATAATTATTGGGCATAATGATAAATTTCCAACTGAGGAATTTTCCAAAACTTCTTGCATTGAACACATTAAACATATTTGGACAAAATATAGTACAGATACAGAAATAAAACTCCAAACCCCAATTTATAATTACTGTTGGATAAGCACTTGTGTTTTAGATTGTGAAGAGAATCCTGGATACGAATTTGGAATGTCAAATATTGTTATTAGTCACCATTTTTGTCAATCTGACAATATTAAAGTCAAAATATGCTGTAACCAGCACGAACTTTCAAATGGTCCCAATTTGACCCCATTAATTTTTAAAATTAACTGTGCTATTGTTCTTGGTACATCCGATACTAACAAATCACACCCTTTTATTGTTAGTATGGATAATCATAATTGGAAAGAAAGTAAAGAAAGTTGGAGCTTAACTAATTTATTAAGACAGCACAATAATAATAGCATATTCACTGGAGATAGTTGGCACCTACCTGATAATGAAAACTATATATTCGCAAGTCCCCTTTATTCAAGTTCTTTGGAATCTCTTGGACCCTGCTGTTCTTTACTTTTAAATATTAATCGTAAATGTCCAATAGTAAAGTCATTTAATGGTAATCCCAAATGTATGGTCACTTATTTTCAATACAAGAATACCAAAACATAGATAATATCAACATTAAGAATGTACTCGCTGCTAAATGTTATAATACTATGGAATAGATCATAGAACAAAAGAAACAAATGATTAGAAGCTCCATGGAATGATATATGGCTACTGTATAAAAATTTTACACTTAATTTAATTTTAGTATAGCGTTATTTGGGTAAATCTATTTCAATTGACATTAGATTTAGATTGTTCTTAAATTATCCGGTTAATACTTGTTTAAAATCTGAAATTCATATCATTACTTATAGTTCATGATAAATTTATTTGAAATAAAGACATTTATAATCTTGCCTTTACGTTTCATATTCTCACACTATTCAAATCTATGTTCCAATGTGTCGTACTAATCAATTTTTACACAAAAATTGCAAATATGGGAGACTTTGCTGCCCGGTTGAAATTGTTGTATTTTACAATTATTACTAATTTTGTTACCGCTATTAATTGATATCTTTGGTTTGATCTTCAAGATCATTTGAGCATTAACCTAGTACGTACGTATACATTTTCAGGTTGCTACACTTACTATTGTCTATACATACATATGTATATATGTATATATATGTATGTATATATCACTTATGTACTTGTAAGTTTTACAACCTAAATAGGTAAAAATTTTATTAGTTTATTCGTATGACTTTACAGTACTTACAACCTACAACTATACAGTATATAGATAGTAATTGCCTTGCCACTAAACGACAATAAAATATTACAATAAAATTTTTACAGTTAAAATAAAATAATTTCTACATAGCTCTTTGATTTTAGAAATGAAATACTACGAATAAAGCTTATTTCATATAGTTAATTTCGTGCTTACTACAATAATTAATGGCGCTTTGATATCCAAGCTTAGCCGCTTTAATTAGTAAATTCTTTCCTTTCTCTTTATCTCTCCCATTTATATAAAGAAGAGCACCTGAATTATACATAGCAACAACGTTATTATTATTGGCTGATTTTTCAAAGTATATCATTGCCATTTGTTTGTCCTCATGGACACCCTGTCCATTATAGAGGCCAAAACCATATCTTAATTGTGCTTCAGGATGTCCATTATCAGCAGCGCTTTTATAAAATTTCATAGACGCTTCTGGGATAGTAAGACCCCTCAAGAACTTCTTCAACATTGTAAAAGTCAGAATTCTGAAGAATATTATTTTGAAGATAATATCCCACCCAGTATTTTGCTGCAAAATCATTTTTCTTTGCTCTGTGTACGAAAAGTCTCCATGCATCTAATATGTTGCCATTTTCTATAAGATGTTGCTTAGTTGCATCTTCAAATGACATAGGTGGATGGTATGGTTCTATAAATGTTATCCCATGATCTTGTTTTAGCGCAGGATCAAGAGTAATTCCAAATACATTCCAAGGGAATATTTCATTGCTATCTGCTAATTCATCCCCATTTGTATAAACAATACACCATTGAACCGTTGTCTTTTCTTGAGGAAATTGATCCGAAGTATTCACGGTTTCATAATCTGAGTCTTCACCTGAACTTTCTAAATTATTATTTTCTTCATATTTATAATTTGATTGTTCTAATTTATCGTCATTTAGTTCTTTTTTAATTTCCAAGTTAATTGATGTTGTTGTCCAGGAGCTAAGGCTAGTTTTGTAAAATACTGAGTCGTGTTGCGATTGAGAACTAAACGAGGTTACCAAAATATAGTCCGCATTGAGATCATGACATTTTAAAGACATGTCAGTTTGAGAACTATAAATATTTTGTGTTCCATAAGCAACTTGGATATTTCGATATCTATCAGAATAATATCCCCTTGGGTTAGAAATCACAAACCAAAGAATCCTTAATTCTTTACAATTTATCCTTTATGAAAAATAAATACATAAAAGGTTAATAAACCATAAGCGTTGTTGCTCAATTTCCCGATGCCCGCTTTCCTGAAGTAACATTTCTCTGATCCCATAAAACTGATAACCTTATTTTATGACAAGACATATATTTCTGACAATTCATTTCGCCAATAAAAGTTCACCGAATGCTTTTTTTTCTCGATCAACCTAATTCCAAACAGCCCGAATTCTCGACATGATATATAATAATAGTCTTTAGTTTTTAATGTTCAGAAAAATTGGTATCGATTAAATGACATTTCAAAATGGGTATAAAAATTATTTCTTGTCAGTAAAATGGATCGCCAGTATTATGGCTTCGGTGAAATGGTATTTCAAGAAATGGATTTCGGGAAGTTAACCTGTAACTAGAGAATGTTATATTGTCCGGCCTTAAACAGTCCTTAGGCCAACGGGCCATATTTAGTCTTAAGACCAGTCAACCCGAAAAATTTTGGTTTTAAGACCGGACCAGTCTATACTAAAGATGTCTGACGAATGACGAATCATTCGTCATTGACGAATGACGAATCATTCGTCATTGACGAATGACGAAACCATTTCGTCAGGTGACTTCCAATTGACGAATTGACGATTGACGAAACCCATGACG